GCAAGATTGCTGACTTTGGAATGTGCAAAGAGGCCATGACAGAAGGCAAACTTACACAGACTTTCTGTGGCACCCCGGATTATATAGCACCAGAGGTAGATACCAGAGCATAATCTGTTGACTTAATTTATTTTGTCTGTCAACTCATATGTCTGTCTGTTTTGGTAGCTAAGGTAAAATAGCGGCTAGTTGGTCCAAAGATCTTGAGTTTGAATGTGCTGATTGGTCTTAACCCTTTCGCTGCTACGTTCCCGGAAATAGTTGTCCTCCCTGTGCTAAGCAGTGTGAAAAAAAAAGTCTCTGCTGTGTGCAATACTTTTCTATCCTCTAAACGCAAAAGATGCGTCCGCGGTGAGGGCTATGTTTTGCACACCTAAAAAATTTTACCTTGGGGAGTTGTGTGGTTGGTCCAAGTGGTGACAAGTCAGAGGCACGATGGTGCCCCACAAACTTGACTAACGGAGCTATCACCCTTCGTGGGGAAGGGGGGGGAGGGGGGGAATTAATGGGAGGAACTGTTCCCAGTCCGTATCCCAAAATTTGATTGACGAACCTACTACGGCTGCCGATTTAATCATATTTACTTGTAGTCACCATGTTATTACATACCAAAATAATAAAAAAAAAAAATATTCATAATAATACTCAAGTCGTCCATTGCTGAAAAGTAGCAGGAACTCAAAGGAAAATTTACAATTAATAATTAAAAAAAACTTCAGGGGTTGAACACACGACCCTCCGATTCTAAGGCGAACGTGATACCAATTACACTATGCTACCGCTTGACGCATTGCGCTGTGTAAATGATCATAATGAAAGATGTGCGCAGACTATCAATAATGTGTCTAAGTTTGTAGTCTATCGCCGCCTGCATGAGCACTGTTGTCTACGAAATGTTTGAGATTCTCAACAATAGTAAAAATATGTCCCTCGACATTATTTTACGGGAGTTTTGCTCAAGTACTCTATTTTGAGTTTCTTTGTTCTAAGCATTAGCAGACAGACAGAAAAAAAATTAGTTCGTCCGAATCTGTGTCTGTCCATCGGGAAAGACGAGAAATTTTAGTGACTTAACTGTTTGACTTTACAGTAGCAGAATTACAGATAGAGCTGGAGTCATCAAAATCATGCACTACTGGTTTCAAATCATCGGTTCATCAAGATAACTGATCAATTTATTGCCGTTTTGATGGCGCTTCATTGTCGCTGCTCTCTGATTCCGACGATGAGGACGTGGGACAGGCAAACAGCTTTTTTTTGGACACGCCGGTTTCAGCAGTCGATACTGATGGCCTAGTCAAATCTTCTTGTTCACTGTCAGTAGTACACATTTCAAAGTCATCTTCGCTATCAGTTTTTGACAGAAACTCCATCAATTCATCAACTTTAACAAGTTTTCTTGCCATTTTGTACCAAGTGTAGAATAATCCAAAAGCACAAATATATATCAGGGCACAAAATACACAGATCACCGACCACGCTTTCACGGTAAACAAAGCAACTGGATAACGCAAAATGCAGTAAACACGCCTTAAACACACCTAAAAGTACGTGCCAGTGCTTTTAATCATATGTAAATGGGTCAGTTTAATCTAAATAAAGCTAATGTATATTGCCCTTCAGCCAATAAAATACGAGGTAACAGAAATCTGTAAGAAAAGTCCAAAAACGGCTTAGGATTTCCATAGCACTGGGGGTCAAGAAAAAAAATAACGTCCAAAGACGGGCGTAGCAGCGTACGGGAAATCAGGAAAAAAAGACGTCCATAGCAGCGAAAGGGTTAACAATATGCGTCTGCTGTCCTAATACAAAACTGGCATAGAAAGGATTCTTTACTTACTTTCTGTTTTAACCTTGTCGCCCTGGAAACCTACAACAACAACATGCCAGTTACAAGTTATTCGGGAATTCCCCCCTTCTCCCCAAACATAAAAAAAAAAAAATAACATTCCCCCCCCCCCCCACCCACCCTCACCCCTTCCGCACCCTTCTCCCTCTCTTTCCCCCCTCCCCTTCCCCTCCCCCTCTCCTCCCCCCTCCCCCTCCCACTCTCCATTATTCAACACAACATAAGATTTTATTCAGAATATCGCAAGTAATGAGAAAGCATCAGCGTAGCTGAGAATTACCTGGTTCATATGTCTTTGATTCTAAAAATAAATGCTGACAGAGAATTATCGTTCACCATGTGACCAGGTTGCAGGTCAGCACTGAGCATAGTGGGAAAATTCATAATAATGTATATTAATAAAGCCATTTTTAAAAAGGAAAAATCATCTACATTTAAATAAAAAAAAATATATAGTATTTATTGGCCTTTCTAAATATTTGCATTGGCACAAGTGATAGTGTGTTATTAGCTAGGTGACCACTATAGCCAAGTCAGAAAAGTGACTTTTGGGGAATAGGGCTCAGCCCGAAGTGTCACTTATGTGGCTTCTCGGGGTGACAGAGCTAAATTTATCTCTTTTATTCAGAGAAGCCGCAGCACACCCGACATTTTGGACAATGACTGTGGGATTGATAATAAATAATTGGGAGAATTGATGATGATGATAATAATAATTGATGAGATTGATAATAAATAATTGGTAGAATTGATGATGATGATAATAATAATTGATGAGATTGAAAATAAATAATTGGTAGAATTGATGATGATGATAATAATTGATGAGATTGAAAATAAATAATTGGTAGAATTAATGATTTTAATAAAAATTGATGAGATTAATAATAAATAATTGGTAGAATTGATGATGATGATAATAATTGATGAGATTGAAAATAAATAATTGGTAGAATTAATGATTTTAATAAAAATTGATGAGATTGATAATAAATAATTGGTAGAATTGATGATGATGATAATAATTGATGAGATTGATAATAAATAATTGGTAGAATTGATGATGATAATAACAATTGATGAGATTGATAATAAGTAATTGATGGGATTGATATTTTTGACTACATTGGCTGTGAACATCTGCTGGGGTGAAAGAACAGGAAAGAGCTGACAGACTGGCCATGTTTGCAGTGGTTAGTGGGGGATTTAGTACTGACAGGGCAGGCATACTAAAAAACACTGCAGACTTTGATGCAGTCAGAGATGATTGATGACCGCCCTGCTAGAACAACTACTATTGGGTACATTGGGCATAGAGATACTGAGATGGCTACAGCATTGGAGGATGAAGCACACTGGGGTCGGACTGATATGCTAGGCTGTCAGTAAGGAAAACAGGTAACAAGTAACAAAATGGGATTGATAATAATAATTAGAAGGATTAACCATAATAATAATTTGTGGATCTGATAATATATAATTAGTCATTGTAAAGTTTGTTGCTGTTTTGTGCAGATTCTCCAGGAGCTGGAGTATGATGCTAGCGTGGATTGGTGGGCGTTAGGAGTTCTCATGTATGAGATGATGGCTGGACAGCCACCCTTTGAAGCTGACAATGAAGATGATCTGTTTGAGTCCATTCTGCATGATGATGTCCTCTATCCTGTTTGGCTCAGTAAGGAGGCTGTATCTATTCTCAAAGGAGTAAGTTTTGCCATAGTTTTGTTTGAAAACACACACAATTTATGTATTGTAAATACCGGGAAGGCTAACCCGGTCAACAAATGCCCGCAGTAGTCGGGTGTGTTGGCCGAAAGGTGCAAATATCACAGCCATGCTGTAAACGGACACAACGCAATTACATCTTCAGATAAACGCAGAAGAAGAAGTATTGTATATGTTTTCAGTGAAAACAGTCACTGCTGCCTTCCGCTGGCTTGAGAATCAGCTGTACACACATGTCATAATTATGACTTGACTCACAGAGCTTGTTGAGAAGGATGGAGACAGGCTTGCTTTGTGCAGAGTGGCAAGCATAACTTCAGACGTCCCGGGTACTTAACGCCCTTTGGATATTTTGGCCAGTGTGTTGGGAAATAAGCTGGCAGATAAAACGTTGGTTCTGCACCACTTGGTGGTGAATTAATGTATGACAAGCTAGATGTTGTGAGGGCCCTTTGAAAGTGAGGGAACAGTGCAGATTCACGATTAGATCATTAGTCTAAGGTGAATGGCACTGCAAGGAGTTACCAGGTGATCTGGCAGATGCTCAACACTCAAGGGAAAAGCAAGATGGATATACAATCAGTTACTGGTGCCATCAGAATTAGAACTCTTCGCTTGCTGCTGAAGATCAGAACTGAGTGTTTATGGGAATGTCAAGATTGCTGTGATGTTGATCCTTAATTTAACATTCAACATTCGGTTTAAAACTGGGTACAAATGATTTCCAGAATATGTGATTTTGGTGTCTGGAAAGTAACTTATATTGAAAATCTTATCAAGACTTTATTAGTTAGACATTGAAAGTTCCCCTGGGATTATGGGGAACTTTTTGGGAGGAAAATAAAAACGCAGAAGAAGAAAACAGTGAAAGTGCCAGATGTTCATTTCATTTGTCCGCGGCTAGCCATTTACTTGTTTCATTTATCCCCTGCTGGGCATTTACTCATTTCATTTGACCGCTGCTGGGCATTATTAACTCATTTCATTTGTCCGCGGCTAGCCATTTACTCATTTCATTTGTCCCCTGCTGGGCATTTACTCATTTCATTTGACCGCTGCTGGGCATTATTAACTCATTTCATTTGTCGCTGCTGGCCATTTACTCATTTCATTTGTTCCCTGCTGGCCATTTACTCATTTCATTTGTTCCCTGCTGGCCATTTACTCATTTCATTTGTTCCCTGCTGGCCATTTACTCATTTCATTTGTTCCCTGCTGGCCATTTACTCATTTCATTTGTCCTGAGTGCTTATGGGCTTGTCCAATGTGCCATGAGGATAATCTGTTGATTAACTGACTGACTGACAAAGTTGTGTATACACTCAGTAGGGACAGTTTTTAAAAACAATTTATTAGTATACACCTGTTTACACATTTACAAATTTAATGTGAGTCACATGCCAGATTGGCTTTTTTTTTTTTTCAGTTCATGACTAAGAACCCGTCCAAGCGACTTGGCTGTGTTACTTCTCAAGGATGTGAAAAGGCTATCCTCGTTCATCCCTTTTTCCATGACAAAATTGACTGGGATGCGTTAGAACTACGCAAAGTTCGACCACCTTTCAAGCCAAAAATTGTACGTCATACTTAAAGTCCTTGTTTACTACAAGTTATGATCGTTTTTATTGTTGTATCTCTTTGAATAAATCAGTGTGGAGTGGTTGAAGGGGATAAAGCGGTTGTCTCCTTCCTTGTGGGATGTGTGGAGAGCTTTGTACACTGCTTGGCGTGGTGGCTGCTCTTTTGAGTTCTTGGCCTATCTACCTGGGGCCAAAAGGATTTTTGTTAAGTCTTATGACAATTAGCAGTGGTAGAGGCACGTTCATTAAAACACAGGCAAATTCTTCTCCATATATCTCTTCTTTTTCTTTGTATCCTCCTCTTCCTTCTTCTTCTTCTTCCCAAACTGTCACCCACTAGCCCACACACACTGTCACCTAGCTCACCCACATTGTCACCCACTAGCTCACCCCCATTGTGACCCACTTGCTCACCCCCATTGTGACCCACAAATTTATAATGAGACCCACTGGCTCACCCACACTGTCACCCACCAACTCGCCCACACTGTCACCCACTAGCTATGTTATGTTATGTTATGTTATGTTATGTTATCACAATCAACGTCACTGCACACTGGGCATTACCATGCGTGCTCAATCCTCTGATGCAGAAGCAACTTCAAAGTACTTCTACTAATTGTTCCAATGAGAAGCTGGTTATATTGTCTCCTATCTCGGCCTCGAAGACGGCACATACGTGCTTCACCATGCTTTACTCCCATGTTCTGCAATCGTGTGAGTGTCTGAGATTCCTCATTATTCACTAGCCCAGTCCGTACAGCGTTGACGCTATTTGCTCTGTCCATGGTTCTTTCCGCATGCCTTAGTGCAGTGCTTGCCAGTTGGTCTGCTCGCTCATTACCCTTTACGCCTGCATGACCAGGTGTGTAGATCCAGGTGAGGGAGGTTAATCACGATTTTCGAATGCTTCCTACCCATTCAAAGCACATACCACCTGTTGCTGTCTTCTAATGCATATTCATGGAGTCTGATACAATTACTACCTGTGTGGCGGTTTGCTCAGATACCCATGCTAAAGCTCTAGAAGCAGCGGCTATTTCCATGGTCATGCTTGACGTGGTTGTCTGTAAACGCCGCTGTCCTCCTGTATTGTTTTTCCAATTCTTTGCGCTGTATATGCCCATGGTGACCTTGATCCGCGCTTCACGGATCCATCTGTGTAGATGATGATATCTTCTGGGTCTGAATGCTGATCTATTAGTTCGCTTACCTCTGTGTCTATCAGAGTGTAAGTCAAGGCAAACCCATACATGAGGAGGGCAAGATCAGAGAAAAGTGGAAAGAATATTTTCAGACTCTTCTGAATGTAACAGGAAATGAGGAAACAGTACCATTCACACTCAGATGTACAAACGAGGAACAGCCTACAATAATCGAACAAGAAGTCAGAGAAGCAATCAGATGCAGTCCCAAAAATGAGGCATCAGGTGTTGATGGAAATATCAGCCGAGGCAATACAGGCTTATGGAGAAATTGGAGTCACCTGGCTACTCCACATATTTAGGAAAGCCTGGAATGAAAGAACTGTACCAATAGACTGGCAAAGAGCCCTTATAGTCCCAATTTGGAAAAGAAAAGGCAATAAGCAAGATTGTAACAATTACAGAGGCATCTCCCTTCTAAGCCACGTAGGAAAAATGTTTTAGAATTAGATCCGTTGTAGAACCGATCCTGAGCCCATCACAGGTCGGATTTAGGAAAGGAAGAGGGTGTACTGACGCTATTTTTGCTTTAAGACTAGTTAGCGAAAAGACAATAGAACACAGACATCAAATGAACATCGCTTTCATAGATCAAGAAAAAGCTTTCGATAGAGTAAACAGAAATTTATTATGGAAAGTTCTTGAAAACTACGGTATAAATGGAACAATTTTAGATTGTGTTAGGGCTATTTATAGACAAAGTGAAAGCGCCATTAGAACAAGAGCTGGCATCACAGACTGGTTCCCAGTAACATCAGGAGTAAGACAAGGCTGTGTATTATCACCTTTACTTTTCATAATATTTATGGACAATATTAATAAAATAGACATAACACCAACAGATGTCGATAAACAGGAGGACTTCAATGAGCTGCTCTTTGCCGACGATCAATGCATATTTCACAGTGATAGTAAACAGCTGCAAGACCACATAAACCTACTACACGACAGTTGCCTCAAGCATCATATGAAGATCAATACTGAAAAGACAGAAGTCATGAGCATAAGTAGAGAGCAACAGACCATCGACATAAAGATTATAGATCACAGCCTAAAACAAGTGTAAGAATTTAAATACTTGGGAAGTATCTTTACATCCAATGGTAAAATAGACAGAGAGATCGAAGCAAGAATCCAACAAGCCAACAATGTCGCATACCAGCTTGCCCCAATTTTAAAACACCCTGCTGTCCCAGCTGAGATAAAAAGACAAATTATAAATACAATCTTTATACCGACATTAGGTTATCAATGTCAGACTTGGACATTAACAAAAGAACACGAGAGAAGACTAACCACCTGTGAAATGAGATGTTCGAGAATGGCTGCGAATAAAACAAGAAGAGATCGAGTGAGAAACGATGTGATTACAAGAACTATTGGAACCATACCCATCGTTAAATTTATTGAGAAGCAAAGAATAAAATGGTTTGGTCACCTAATGAGAATGGAACCAACGATGCCAGTATCAAGAGCATACAACATGAAAATCGAAACATCAAGAGGCAGGGGAAGACCAAGAAGAAGATGGATTGATGGAGTCACGGACAACTTGAGACTTCATAACATCACGGCATATGAAGCGACTGAGCGCGCCCTGGCTCAGTTGCCGATCATCTGATAGACTGCGACGCCTAGCGGCACAAGCAGATTTTGACAAAAGAAAGAAGTACCTTCCGAGTGTGATGACGACCTTAGAGATGCCATGCATGTCTACTGGTGTATTCGTCCATTCTTTTCTGTGACCGACCACGTCTAGGTCACATACCTGATGGATTAAATCCTCAAGCTTTGCCATCCAAGAGCGGCCTCTTTCGAGACGCGTTCCTTTTGTGTCGTGTATAGCTTTGTGCAGTGGGTGGTTAACGTCTGCCAATACCCTCATGTACGCTTTGACCTGTGCCACTTTGTATCTGCTAGTCATCGTCGGCAAACCCAGGACATAACGCATGGTGTTGCAGGAGGTGTCTTTTGTGCAGCCGAGTATGAGTCTCATGGCCTTATTTTGTACTCGGTCCAGTCTTTCTAGCCACCCACCAGCTCCCCCACACAGTCACCCACCGGCTCCCCCACACTGTGACCCAATATCTCCCCCACACTGCCACCCACCAGCTTTGCCACACTATAACCTAATATTTCCCCCACACTGCCACCCACCAGCTTCCCCACACTATAACCCAATATCTCCCCCACACAGTCACCCACCGGCTCTCCCACACTGTGACCCAATATCTCCCCCTCACAGCCACCCACCAGCTTTCCCACACTGTGACCCAATATCTCCCCCTCACAGCCACCCACCAGCTTTCCCACACTGTGACCCAATATCTCCCCCTCACAGCCACCCACCAGCTTTCCCACACTGTGACCCAATATCTCCCCCTCACAGCCACCCACCGGCTCCCCCACACTGTGACCCAATATCTCCCCCTCACAGCCACCCACCAGCTTTCCCACACTGTGACCCAATATATCCCCCTCACAGCCACCCACCAGCTTTCCCACACTGTGACCCAAAATCCCCCCCACACTGCCACCCACCAGCTTCCCCACACTATAACCCAATATCTCCCCCACACTGCCACCCACCAGCTTCCCCACACTGTGACCCAATATCTCCCCCTCACAGCCACCCACCGGCTCCCCCACACTGTGACCCAATATCTCCCCCACACTGCCACCCACCAGCTTCCCCACACTATAACCCAATATTTCCCCCACACTGCCACCCACCAGCTTCCCCACACTATAACCTAATATTTCCCCCACACTGCCATCCACCAGCTTCCCCACACTATAACCTAATATTTCCCCCACACTGCCACCCACCAGCTTCCCCACACTATAACCTAATATTTCCCCCACACTGCCATCCACCAGCTTCCCCACACTATAACCCAATATCTCCCCCACACAGCCACCCACCAGCTTTCCCACACTGTGACCCAAAATCTCCCCCACACTGCCACCCACCAGCTCTCCCACACTATAACCCAATATTTCCCCCACACTGCCACCCACCAGCTTCCCCACACTATAACCCAATATCTCCCCCACACAGTCACCCACCGGCTCTCCCACACTGTGACCCAATATCTCCCCCCACAGCCACCCACCAGCTTTCCCACACTGTGACCCAATATCTCCCCCTCACAGCCACCCACCAGCTTTCCCACACTGTGACCCAAAATCTCCCCCACACTGCCACCCACCAGCTCTCCCACACTGCCACATATTTACACAGATTTTTATATTTGCAGAAAAACAAGACCGACGCCAACAACTTTGACCGGGACTTCACAACAGAAGACCCCGTGCTGACCCCAGTAGACCCGGCGCTGATCAAGACCATCAACCAAGAAGAGTTCAGAGGCTTCTCATTTGTGAACCCAGAATATGGGAAACTGCAGTTGGAGGCCAGCGGGCAAACACATTGACCTGGCTTAGCTGTCCTTGGATATTGTTTGGACCACTCCTCAGTCACGGCTGTGTTACTGATAGTCATTTGACAACTTTGTTTCATTTAGGGAGCTGTTAAGTGTTATGTCAAATCCTTCTTTGGTGCCATTCACTGATCATTTGTGTCCCTTTTAAACTAGTGTGGCTGTGGTCGGACCTTGAATTTATCTTAATTTTAAATATTCAGTAGAAGACATGACATCTAGACACCACATTCGGTGTTTAGTTCTGTTGCATTTTCTGGTCATTGACTCTGTGTATTAGTTAGCTTGTGATATTTTTGATCTACTTATATTTATATTTCAAACAGAAGAGTGACTTCTGAGAGAAATCTCATACGTTAATTCTATTTGTATGCTGTCTGAAGGAAGCTGTAGAATTGCATGCTGTGTACTTAACAGCTGTGATGAATGTTGGACATTCTCTCTCAATTTTTGTTTTTCTAACTGTGTGAACATTCTCACCCTTATGGAATCTTAACACTTTTAGTACCATAACACCTACCGTATTTCCACAAGTATAAGGCACTTTGATTCTGGGACCGGAAATATGTAGAGAAAAAGTACTACTATTGTATAAGACGCACATTGTTTTTTTAGAATCTGAGTTTTAACGAAAACGAAGTTTGTCTTATACTTGAGGAAATGCAGTATTGATTGCTTGGTGTTTCTGGAAATGATGTGCATTCCTTATGGTCCAGCTTCTCATGGGAACAATCAGAAGAGGTTCCTATGGGTGGCTGCTACATTGGAGGACTTAGCGTGCATGGGAACGCCCAGTGTGCAGTGATTTTGATAACATAACATAACATATGTAGTTCTTGTTGCTTTCTCTCAGACAGTTATTTTAGTAAACCTTTGTATATGAATTCTTAGTTTAACCACCTCTTCTGTTTTATATTGTCTCTTGACCTTTTTCAGATTTAAGTTTGTATTGATTTTAATCTGACCTCCTTGAGATGTACGGAGTTAAAGTAATAACTACTTGGCACTGAGAGCCAGATGACCAGATTTTACTTCTTGTTATTCTGATCGCTTTAAATTTTTAATTCTTGGTTAACTACAGGAAATATAAATTGTGCTGACTTGAATAAAAAAAAAATCAAAAAAAAAAAATCCCCAATATTGGTTTGTGAATGAAAGCTTCAGGTTAAAAAATGATATAAAATTCATTGAGACTGTTTCACACTACAGTTAGTATGGTTGTGGTCCTGGCAACTATTTGCTTACATTTTGCCAAATGTACATTTATTTGCACAAATGGGTTAATTTTCGGTTGAGAAAAAAAAAACAACCTTGTTACTGGTCTTGACCAGAAGTTTACTCCTGAAAAATAACATGTTTAAACTAGGCACGTTTTTATTTAATTAAATGCCAAAATAGTACGTCAGATTAATTATTCATATTCAGTCTCCTTGTCCAGTAAAATCTGGCCACACCCCTTGAGCATTGCCAGAGAGCAGTATTGCTGGCATAATTTCTCGACAAAAATGGGTTTATAGCAGTGAGCGCTGGGAGATATTTTTTATGAATGGCAGATGTATGAGACAATATTTGGGACTGTATCAGCAGTACTCCAAGATCTGTAAGAGAACTGTATGGGAGCCATGTGAGGATTTCTATATGTGATCAGTTTGGAAAGTACTGTGTAAGAAGTTTTTGAGAGATGTGTATGAAAAGTACTGTCTGCATCTTATGGGAAGTACCTTATGAGAACTGTGTAAGAAATACTATAGCATAATAGAAGCAACAACTGCCAGAGACTTCTGGTGGCCTCTGCCGTGGCTTGAGACAGACATTTGGAAAGATTGATCTGAGCGCTGGCCAGTGCCTGTGAATTTCTGCCACATGAAACTCATGGTTGCGTTTTCTGCATTTAACCACATTTAACGGGTAGGTCAACTTTGGCCGTCATGAACAAATTTGGTCTGATAATGAATGAACTATGCTATGCTAGCTGAATGAATGGCTTCTTAGCACTCTTGCCTGTTTGGTTCCTTGTTCAGTAGGTATTTGGTTCAACTGTTGGTCTTGTCATGACAGTCAGGCAGCAGATTCACTCTGACTTCGAAGGAAGCACCTATTTATTTGACTCTTATGACAGGCTTATTGCGTTTGCAGTGGGTGTGTTTTTGTTTTCCCCACAGTGGGGCCTCAGAACCCACACAGGAAACTCTAATTTATTCTGCTTATTTTTCTGTTCCTCTAGTTGCGTTTCAGAGGTTTATAACCATGGTGATTTTTTTACACTATTTGTTTAAAAAAAAGTATTTTAAAACATTTTTACGGGGCAAAAAGGTTTACATGAACCCATGACATTGAGAACTTGATGAAAGCAGCTTATTGAATCCAAGGATTGGTATGAAGTTTCTGCACATTTCACCCACTGAGTCAACAAGACCCATATCAGCTAATAATGATTTAATATATACTTTTAGGTGCTGTCAAATTACAGCATAATTAGGTGACAGTGTCGATTATGTATTGAATTCAAGTGACATAAATAGATGCACATTGAAAAAGAAAACAATTCACATGGGAAGCATGTTGGTATAGAACAGGTGCGAGCAAACCATGGCCCACGGGCATAAACTGGCCCACCGAGCAATTTTTACAAGGCTGGTATGTGTTTAGTACATAATCTAGCCCTTGAGCTCACAGAATAGCAGACACAAAAACTTATGTTCATATGCAGGAAAAACAAAATTGAAGTCACACAATCAACATTTAAAAAAATGATACCTAAACAAGTAAGTAAGAAAGGACCGTTTTTCCACGCCTTTAGGCGTATAGGGCATATAGGGCTAGACCTGTATTGTTTATTTTTACCTAAACAAGGATAATTAGAAACTGATGGTGCAGACTGTTTGCTTCTGCCAGTGAAATGTGTGGCGGACAAACTCAGACATTAGGAAACAACCTGTCGGCGGACTTTGATTATACAATTTTATGACAACACCCATTCTTCTTCTCTGAATGTAGACATTTAGGAATATATAGAAATGCCACTGTGCACGAGAGTGCCTGGCCAGAGGTGTAGCGAGGGATAATAATATTAGATTATCCCACAAATTGATTATGTTATGAGGAAATCTGGCTGGTATGCTTACAATAGAATTGTTTGTATTTGACCTGTAGTGTGAATCAAAGATGTAGGAGTGTAATAAAAACATAGAAATTGCTAAGGTAGCAAAAAAGATACATGAACACAAACAAGGAAAATCCAGCAGGGCTACAAGAATGAAGATATTACATGCATACACTGGGAAAAGTATACAAATTAGACATGACCTGAAAACCACCATAACTGCATTGCGGGGTAAATTAAGTGTCCACTTAGCTAATACCTGCTGACCCTTCTTTGTTTAAAATGTCTGCCACTGACCACATATTTTTTAAAGAGTCATACTGAAGAACACATTGTAATTCATAAATAATAACACACAAAAAAAGGTTGCATTTATGAAATTGAGGTAACGATGTCATAGACTTCATAGACTCCATAAATTTGTTCTGTGAATCCAGTGGCACTGTAGACCACCAAATGAGTGAGAGGATAACCGTTGGCTGTTTAATTGTTTGGTAGAGACCTAGAAACTGATTCTTTGAATCTTTTGATGCTTTGAATATCTGAGCCTGGAAAAGATTGTTTTCATCTATTAATTCTTCACCAGTGAAGCTGAGCGATCAGCTGTTCGGAATCTAGTGATTCTGATGAGTTTATTACACAGACAATGTCCCATACTACCCTATTTATTGTGTAAGAGTAGGAAAATGCTCTAAACAAAGAGACAGTATTACTATACTATGGCTAAGTTACATTGAAATCCTTGCAGCTACAGTCTGTAAATAACTGTACAAAGTAAATAGTAAATAGCGTGTGTGTAATGGCTCATTTTTCTGCCATTTTTTCTCTGAAATATTGCTTAGTACTTGGTGAGAACTAAAAGCACCTTAGTGCTAAACTAACCCAGAAACTTATCATAATTTTGGAATATGTTAGGAAATTGAACAAACTTTGAAGTTTTGTTCTCAAATTTGAATATTCGCTACTCTTGTGGCTGCAACACCATGGTAAGTGAAGAATTTGTTTATTTAATGTTGTCCTTGTGAAATTAACACCTGCTGAATTCTTCTTTCCCACTAACTATAACAAAATTAAACAAACACTTATCATCAGATTCAAAATGTACATTCATTTCTCTTTTAAAAAATATATACTTTTATAGGGATTAGAAGTATATTACAATCTCTATAGCCTTTCTTGCACACCCACCCCTCTGCTATTTTTATAAAGGGAAATTAATGTGGGCCAAGTCTGTCAAAATTCATGGGCCTGAAAGAGTTAAGAAAAAACAAAGCTTCAAAAGAAAAATCACAGATAGCGAACATTAAGACAGCTGCTTGTAACCATCTTGAAAACAGAAATCAGCTTTGGTTTAAACTGTGGGCCTGTGACTACACAGAGTTTCTTTGTGCTGTTATCTGTTTATTGTCTGTAAATGTGTGGCTATTTGTGCAATCTAGGGGACACATACTGTCAACTAGACATTTTTGTCTTCCAGTTTTTATGGAACAAAGCAGTTTCAAGTGTGCTCTGGAAATTATTATGTATATATTTATTTACTTGTTTAGTTTTTCTTTTTCTGTAATTTTGATTGTTAACACTCATTTACAGCCACAGAGTTCATAATATTTAATTAATTCTCAATCTGTGCTGCTGACTCCTCACTCCCGGCAAGGCTGACCTGAACAACAAATGCCTGCAGAAGTCGGAGGTGTCAGCTGAAAGGCGCAAGGATCCCAGACATATTGTGAATGGGCACAGGGCGTTGACATCTTCTGATTAATGCAGAAGATGATTGCTCTCTTAGTTAGCTGCTATGATTTAAATTGACCTCCAGAAACATGAATGTTAGTGCTGCAAAACACTTTGCTTGCTATAAAGGTCGACAAAGTGTACTGCAATTTTGACCTTG